TCTATTTGACTTAGTTTATTAAAAAAAGTAATATTATAGTCAGCTAAATTTTAAAATGCGTATTTTTTATTTTTAAATATTTAATTTTATATTAAATTAATATACAATAAAATAAAAATATTAAAACATAAAAAATCCCTAAATTTTATAAATAGATATAATTAAATAATTTATAATTTTCTTTTTAAAATTCTTTTAAGCTTTAATTTTAAATATTAATTTAAATTATTACCAAAGTTATATCAATATATACTTATGAGATAAAATAAGTAGTTATTGCTTGATTATTATTTATTTTTATAATAGAATATTATTTCTTTGAATAATATATATGTATATATATGTATATTTATATAATATTTTAAAAATTAATGGCAAATTTAATTATTTCTAAAAAAAATCTTTAATTTTGGAGGAATGATTTTAGAATAATATTATTGGAATTAATTAATTATTTTTTAAAAAAGACTCTTTTAATTTTTGAGAGCAAGAAAAAAGAATTTTGATCCTTTTATGTAGTAGTGCTCCTTCTTTAAAAATCTATAAATGATCCTTGAACAAAGATATTCTTACAAAGATGGCTTATTAAGCCTTTCTACAAAGCTCTTTCAATACAAGATATTCATTTAAGGCAGCTCTTTACATGAGAATTTACAAAAAACGTATTACAAATAAATAATAAAACATGATATAATTGACTCAGAAAATGTATGATGTGTATCTAATTTTTTGAAGATGAGCCATATCAATATTTGTAAAAATAAGATTCTTTCAAATGCCACAACTCTAAGGCCAAAACATCCAAAAGGCAAAGAAGTTTTTTCTTGTAATGATCAATTTTAATAAGTCAAGGAAAACAAACGCCAAGCTTTATAGCTCTTTTTCTACCCTATCTCCACCTCAAAGAGAAGAATTCTTTAATTATAGATTGGTTGGAAAATAAGTGTTTATCATTATATTCTATTATTTTGAGACTATTTTTTTTCTTTTCATTATTACATTATCCATAATACTTTAAGTATGCCAATTTTTATTTTGCTCAAGGAGTTTATCACCTAGGATATTATACCTCCTGTATTATAATTTCTTTAAAAGTTTAGTATTGCCATCAATGCTTCACCATACTAAATGATCTCAATCACTGTGTTTAATTTAATTTAATTTATTTTATTTTTTTTCACAAAGAAACAAGCATTATTTTTCTTTGTCTTTACTTTGGCTTTAGATCATAGTAATAAGTAATCAACTTCTTTGTTATTGTTTTCTTTCACTGTTACTTTAACTTAGCCTTCTACTTTTTCTTTCTCTTGCCTTTCCAAAACCTCTATTTTGAACTTGACAATGAGTTTTTAGGTGGATATTGTAGCAACTTTGCAATGCCAAAGAAAAAGATGTATATATCCATTCTTTGAAATATATCTTATAAGACTCTTGCATCCCTCATTGATACTACAATAAGAACATAATATAATATTTTTATGATATTAAATCATATTATTTCTATAATAGTACTATTTTGGGTATTAACTTCTAAATTGCTACTAGGACCAATTCAAAGGTCTTGATGAAGATTCATATAACAAAACATGTACTTCATCACAATGGCACTATGGTTATTTTATGGTAAAGTTCTAGACTACAATACTTAGATTGATCTTTGTATATGCCTCCTATTTATTCAACAAGACTTTTCATTCTTTTATCTCTTTTATCCTCAAAGAATTCAAATATGTATATATATATATATATATATATATATATATATATAATAAAAATAAACTTAGAAGGTGATTCCTATGATTATATTCACTACTACTCAATTTATAACTGTACTTCTCTCATCCAATGTAAAAGATCTTTACCAAGAAGATAAAGCATCCCATATCCCTCCCTTATAGTTTATTCCCTTGAAGTAATATAAATTATTATTAGATTAGGCAGCAATGTACTCAATTTGTGCCACATATTTTTTGCCAAGCCAACATCGTATAATTGATACTATTACACTATTCCAAGACCTCTATCTACAATCAAGGTATTGAATATAGTAAGATTTTAAAAAGCATAAATAATTTCAATTTCTTTTAGAAATTCTATCATTTATCATAGTTCAACTACTAAACTCAATATTTATCAAATTATTCTATGCTCCAACTTAATACATGTTACTTCATTGCCTCAACAAGGTGAGTCTAAGCTCATCTTGTTTACTTCTTAGCCAAATACCAATTAGTTCAATACCATTAAGTCTCAATTCAAAGATAAAAGTTATTAAGCAAAAGAAAAAAGATACATCATATTGAGCACTATGACCATAATACTATATTTTTAAAAAACTCACACATTAGTCACCAAAGTCTTTGCACAATATATCCACAATACACAACATTGCTAAGGTTACAAGTTCCAACTTTTATATTCATATTCTTCTATATAAATCACACAAATTTCTATATTGGCAATTAAATCCATTAACAATTATAGACTAGTGACCTTACTTTTTTTAATATAATTATTAACTATAGCTACTTTAATTTCTAAGTTATACTACTAATTTAATTATATTAATTTTAAAATTATATTAAACTTAATTTTTAGGATCTACCTATATTTTATACTTTGCAAGATCTTCTTCTCTTTTTTTTACTTTGATTGAAATAATATAGAAGATTTTGTAATAAAGAATTTGACTTATTAATTTTACATTACTTAAATTATACTACAGACATATAACTCTAAGACTTATAAGTCTAAGACAACTTATAAGTTGTCAAATATCTTGATCATACAATTTATTAATGTAGGTTATTATTGATCTACTATCTAATTATTTAATTGTCCTTTTTGTGAATAATTTTGGATTGGCAATTCAAAAGGATTTTATTTCTTTGACTCTAACTAT